GGGGCACTAGTGCCCCGTACTTTGTATGTTAAAATATGCTATGACGAGAAGTGTGCTATTTTAGTCACAAGCCGCAGACGTCGATTGCATTACGATCCATGGGCAAGATTTGGTTGCAATTTTTTAAAGACTGAAATTTCTTTCCCACAAGAGCCACATAATATGTTATTTTTCATCACGACTCTACCACCTTCGAACACGTCTCATCAATATTATGGTAATCCACAATGAAGTATACTTGCTATTCTCGGAATCTAAATTCGTTAAACTGTTTCATATAAAACAGCTAGTATTTGATATAATAGATAAAATAGATTGATACATATACATTCATGTACAATGTATATTAATGTGATAAAGATAGTAATCCTTATGACCACTATCAAAGTGAGTATCAACCTGTTGAATTCTAGGGTTTCTAAATTACCGGTAAGAAAAAAAAATATTTATACTGTTCGGCGAACGAAAAGAGGTCATTTTCAAACGCTTAAACCGGCATCGAAAATTAAACTTTTGGCACAGAAGTGACGAAAATATTTTTTTATTAACAAAAAAGTTAAAAGTTACCTACCAAATATATGCCTATATTGAATATTTCGAAGAAAAAAATTTATAAATTTTTAAGTTTTTTATTTTCAGTATTAAAAATAAAAAATAAAAAAAATATATTCTAAAAATGTAGCGCAAGTGTCTATGGATTATATTTAAAAGAAATTTTTAAAAAATATTGATTAGAACAAAAGTTATATTATTTGTCAGAATTTCAGATCTCTGTGGGACACCCTGTATTTCAAACTTCAACTTATTTAGTATTTGCAGCGAGTACACTATTATTATTAGTAGTATTGAGTATTGACAAATAGCATTATAATAGGTATCTGGAAATCACCAGGTAACCAATTTATTTGTATACTGTCGTTTAAACTACCCGTAAACGACGGGAACCAATTTGGTAAATGAGAACAAACTCATGGACGTTCATATAAATAGGTTAGGTTATCTAATGGATATTGGGTACAAAATAGTAAATACAAATAAAATCAAAATACATTTTTGAAAACCAACACTTATATTTAAACCAATAATGCATTTTTATTTATATATCCAATAAATAAGAGATTCTACTCTTGATCAATATAATTATAATATAAAATTAAAATATTTTATTGATTCTCAATAGAATTGCCATTACTTGATTCTGCAACAAGCAGTTGTCAAATTCTTTCACCTYGCAAATCGGTTTTATTTTTTAGTAAAAATTTAAAATAACCTAAATTGGCAATCACCGTTTCTGTAGCTGACGAGGACTCGGAACGCATGAATAACATAGTAAATAGGAAATATTTTACGAATGTGTATCTATTTAAACAATGATCGAGTACACTCGTTTCCTGTGGACGGCGAAGGAAATCGTGAATAAAGCAGCAGTGCGCACAGGAATGCTGTTTTATAGTCGTTATGGGAGTTATCACGTATAAAATACGAATGTAGAAATAATAATGATACGTCTTGGTAGTAGTAGTGAAGTATAATAATAATGATTACGCGATAGCAGTTACATTATTATGGTCTTACCTTATTGTTGAGGTCGTGAACGTCTTCTTCGATGGACGTATCGGAGTACACATCGTCAGGCGTATCGCAAATGGAACTGCGACCGGACGAATTGAAACTTGAGCTCCGATATAGATCACTGAAACATGACAACGTCAGTGATATTATTATCTATTAATATGTAKAAACAACGATAACATTAATAATCAACGCCATTAGATATTTTACCTGGCGAGTGCGTTTGAACTGATCCTTTTGTTTGATCTGTGTGAAACAAATTACAAAAGTGTTATCTTTAAAAATTATAATAAAATATTACACAATAATTATGATAGTAAAAAKAATTTTAAAGTAAAAGTGATTTATAAACTCCGCTTAATATGCATTTTTAAAAGACGCGTTTTTCCCAAAATATCTATTCATTAGGATAATAATAGCTGTGGCAGCATTAACAGCGACGGCTTTCTGTAGATATGGAAAGCTACTTTCTAAGTACATAACTTGCTATAAGTACTGTTCTTAATACTACACTACGCACACTGCGCRTCGATATTAATTATCATTAAAACAAGTGTTATCAAATTTTCAGACAAAAAAAAGAAATGTAATTCTTCTACATACACAGACCACGGACGAGTTTACGAAGATTACGATCGGCAAATGTTGCAGTTATGCTCATATAGCATGATAAGTATGTTTTGCATGTCGCTGCATTGTCTTCATTACAATTTTTCAACTAAATGTTGTAAACTTTTCGAAATGCTATACCCAAAACTAAAGTGATTTAAATAATTATTCTAATATGACGTAGATGTTATGTTTCTTAATATTTTAAAATGATTATTATTATTCATTTCGTTTAACAYATATAATGTAAGCGATAATTAAATAATTRTGTATCAGAACAAGACTATAAAATAATTAATAAATAATATGTAAGAGATTAACTAATTAGAATTAGTGATAAACGTATAATTGAATATAATCGTTTATTATACTCAATATTGTTACAAACAAATTCGACATAATCGTTCTAAATGTACATTTATGTTGATTTATTATTTCACATCTAACATTTAAAACGGTATAACTCTTATTTACCAAAATGCAATAAYAATCTAAATGTAAGGTTATGCTACCAAGGACAATGTGTTGAGCATAAATTTATAAAWWTTTTTTACTGGCTGTTTATATTTTTAAACAGAAACATAAACAGTGAAACTAAACAAAAAGAAAAACTGAGGTTTTCACTACACTCTTACACGATGATAGTTACGTTTTCCGAGTACTCGGGAAATCATTTATAAAAAAATCATTGAAATGAGGTCGTTGTCTGTACGATAAGTATACAGAAAAGTACAGGTACAGCAATATACACCCAAAAATTCAATRTTTATAGGTATTCGTATGATCTGTATTAGGTAATAATTTAAGAACAAATTGGTGAGCAATCAATGCAATTTATAATTATATTGATTTAAAATTAAAAATTATAAAGCTAATCCAAAATAATAATATTATATGTAAGATTTGTAGGATGTTTCTATTGTCACAAGGTTGCAGGTTGTAATATCTTGTGATGGACACAGTTATTATATACCACTATAATATACCCGATATACCCTTACTCCTATACTTCTAGCACATTTTTCACTAAATTTCTTAACCATGACTAAATTATTACGACGACGATGACGCTCGTCGTGAGATAATTTCTCAATTTTTCGCAATTGTGAACCGGAATAAATTTACGTGAATGCAGAAAACGCGGTAGCCGATAAATGACAGTAAAATTTGCCATATGGAACGACGACTTCGACTATACTAAACCTATAATAATATAGTATATTATATTATAGTGACGGATGAACATTCTTTTCTAATTCTTAAATCAATAACAAAAATTAACTGCAAAATTATTGGGCGTTTAGAATAAAGATAATAATAAATACAGTTAAAAAATTTAAAAACCAATGAAAACTTAGTGAGTACACATTTGATAGATATTATTCATTTCATACCTTCTCCACGAAGACCGATTATATTCCTGTTTCATTTTTCGCCTATAAGCACTGCACTACTACACGGGAAAGCATTGGTCATGTTCGTGAAATTWTGAGGAAAATAATAAATATATATTATAATAAACATGTAGACATATTTTACTCGCACAAGAGAAAAACACGCACTTTTATCTCGGGAGACTCACGACCACTTGCCAGAGACAAGTGATCAAACTCGTCGGCCGTCGCACTGCAGTGCACACTCGCACTATGATGACTAAGCGTAGGTGAAATCATGCACACACAATAAAATCGTACACAAGTCACGTGTATGTTTGTATGTGTGTATGTGTGCACGCTCATCGAGAAGGGGTGTTGTGTACAGACAATGTGTATGTATGCCAAACATGCAGTGGTGTGGTGTGGTATACGACGTGCGTATAGGTAATAATATACTTAACGCTTATACCACGTAGTTGGTTACTACGGCTACCACTACCGGTCACACAAGGCAGGTTTATTATACACAGCGGATAAGAACAGAGAACGGCCCACGGCATTCCTTCCTATCATTGCGTTTCGCCTTTCATTTTTTTTCAATGCACCACTAGGTCATACTCATATAACGCTCAGCGGATAATGTTATTATTTTAGTTAACAGTAAGCACACTCAAACCGGACGATGCCGGATTGTCGGCATACACATGCGCGAAACCGCGAAAAATATCAAATTGTATTTTACAGCTGGTACCATGTATAATATTAAATATCAGCCTACCTGTCGAATATATACATATATCATATAAAATAGAGAGAACTCCGGTGTACAACCTACTTGGATTCGTTGAACTCAAGGACACATAAATATTTGACGTAAACCACTCCGACAGTCCGACGGTGAAAAACGTATTGAACCCAGAAAATTGGAAAAAACAAACAGCTACAGCTTTATGCGTACTTACACGAATTTTAACCATACGACAGAATATCTATACACCGTGTACCTATTACCTACATACAATTATAATAGGTTGCCTATTATTCATTGTATGAGCGGTTCGCGAGCGCGAAAACATAAAAAAAAATCATTGCGTAATTCCAATTTTCATTTTTCACAACATAATATAATAATCGTTTGGAACATGACAAAACGTTTGTGGTGTATGTATAGAATTGTTTCCTATCTGCGAAAAAGTAAACAATCGACATGCCGGCCAAACCACGTTTACTTTCCCCAAATACGCTTACAAACACAGCCGATCCAGGTTGGGTGTATAAATATATATAYATAGAAAAAAATATCACCCTCTTTTGCACGACAGACAATCAAATTTCAATAAAATCTTGTCGACTACATATACAAGTAGGTACAAGGCAGTAGATAAACTCTATATTATGTTCAAATACACGACAATTGCTTAAGTACTTCAACGAGTGTATATTAAAAAAGGTACAGTATATATTATATAGTAAAATAGTAATAATGGTATAAGTTGTGAGTATCGAGCGGTGTATCTATATAGTTATATACCTAATATAAATCTTTATAAATAATACAATAAAAAAGCGACTATAGGAGCAAGATAATTGTGAATGTGCGGTAAGATGTATATAACATTGTATACACTAACTCGCAATTTTATCACATGAAATTTTCGTGCATAAAAAGTATATAACGTCGACCCCGCGAATCGTGCGCACGTTGAAGATGCACGTAATAACATCATTGTAGCTGGAAAATTATAATATGGTCTAGAGAAGAAATTATTACGTAACACACGTAGATGGTAAATACTAATCACTAGTATTGTCTCGGATCTTTTGTGTGTGAATGTAACTATGACGACAACGGAACACACACACACTACACACACCAATCTAAAATGTTTGTTCGATCAGGTATTTTAAAAAGAAGGACGGTGCATGGTGCATGGAACTAATTTAAAAACAAAAAAATATATTTGTTATATTTCTGAAAAGCGCTTTACATAATTAATAGCATATTATACGAAAATATGCTTATGTGCTAAAAAAGTAATACCAGTGTACCAATTTGCAATTTTATTGTTAAAAAAGGAATTAAATAAAACATGTACCTTTACATCATTTGTATGTACAATAAAATTGAAGAATTAAGATACTTAGAGTATCCATAAATCGCTAAAACCTAATTTCTATTTCTCCTCGACTTCCGTAAATAGTCAATAGTCGAAACCTATTACTTTAAAAACTACCAGCCAAACACAAACAATTAACAATATTCCAACATTTCCAACAAATATTGATATAATTGGTACCTATAATTCGCATAATCGAATTAGGGGCATCAAGTAAGCGTGACAAATCATAGAGTCCGAATGAACAATACGTATATACCACCAGAAATAGTATTAAATATACGTGAAGCCAACTCGGTACAAATCATATTATAATATAACCTATTTTAGGTGCCACGATTTCGAATACATCATAGATTTAAATATATATTTATTATTTATAGACAATAGTTCTTTTGTGTCTRACGACAAACCCACATGCGATAACACAAATATTACATATCACCGAATAAGGACCCACTGGTAGATTTTTGACACAGAGGTCATATAACTCATACTATTTACTACTACTAAATAAATAAATACACCACTCTCACCTTTCTCCCATATAATAAGTAATCTGTACCTATCTTCAGCCATGATCAAAATCGTTTATAAAAATATTATACTACTTAAATTTGATGATAGACAAATATATGAATAGAAATTTATGGCGTCTTGTTTAATAAAGCATTTTAAATACGAAGCGACAAATGTCAAAAGTAAAAACACTGCCATATAATCATATTATTCGGTTTGTACCTAATATAAACATATGTAGGTATAATTAAATCATATTTGTTGGCACGATTTTTTTTCAAAACTTAAAAATGTAAGAACAGTCACGGAATATTTCAACCAGTCAAAATTAACATTCGTACMGATTTTAATCATTAAAAGTTTCAGTGTGTGCGTATCATATATACGCAAAAAAGCGAATAATGTGTCAATAGAGTATGAATTATATATATTAAGTTAAAAAGCAATGTTAATTACTTACGAATGTCTCATCGAACCCCATTTCCGATTTGGCAGTATTTCAGAGCTAAAATTTAAAAAAAAAAAAGACAATTATCAGGGGATACAAATATATAATTTACATTGTATAGGTATGTAACGTAAAGAAGCCACAAGTTTGAGGATAATTAATTTATTATACCTGTGCTCATTTGTTGTCCTCCTCAAACTTGTCCTGAGCCACGTATTCCTCTTTAGGCTCAACGGGTTGGTAATTGGATTTTCGACGCCGCTAAAACGAAAAAAAATCATCAGACTATGTCTACTAACGCCGTTTTATAAGCAAATAATTTTAAATTGTGAAGTATTTGTTATAACTGTTATAAGATTAAATAATAATAAACAAACTTTGTGATCACGTTGTTGATAGGCGAAGAATTCTCCATGTCACCTTCACCATAACATTCGTAACTCTCTTCGTCTGACATACTCGAAAACTGGCTGTACCAAAGAACAAAAGTAAAATWAAAATATTATTTTAATGTATATTGTTATTTCACACATTATAACACACCTGTTATTCGTAGAATTCGAGTCCGTGTTCCCGCCGTGTACTGCAGTGTCTTCTATGTTGAGTTTGAACGCGGGAGAGTCACGTTTGTTATTGTTATTGACGATATTTTCATCTTCTTGTATTTTGGGCGCCATCATCCTAGCCAAAACCTACAGACAAAAGACAATGGAATATTATTATGTTGACATTTATATAAATATATTAAAACCTGATTGGGATTCAAAACAATGCATACGAATAGTGTAGTTGTGATAATGTAACATTACAATATCATTAATTAAAAGGTCCAAACAAATGGTATTAGTAATAAATAGTTATAGCTTCGTTGAAACATCGTTAATGCTTGTTAATCATATAAAAGAGAATTCAAATTGTTTTCCAATAACTGTGATCGTACCATAGTCATGATGTTTTGCTCGCAACCTTCACGATCGGTTCGCCTACGTCGCACAAGATTATGCACAATTTATGAACCTATATTGTATTGTAATTTATTGATCTATGTATTAAAACGCGTAAAATGAACTAACTCGTTCGCGTAGGATAAATTGACACACACTAAACACCCGGATGAACGCCCACGCTCTTATATATAAATGGTTACGTATAGGTGTGGTAGGGCTCCGATGAGGGGGTTGTACTCTTTTTCTTCGGAAAGGTGATAGGCACGTGTCCCGGCGGACAGATGTAGGTAGGTACCTATATATAGAAGCATACCCGTCGATAAAGCGAAACATGCTGTAAGCTGGTTACACACTAGGCGAATAATTCGCGCGCGGACGCGGTTTTAAATCGCGGCGAACATTCGCTTAAAATTAAACAACCTATTTTAGATTAGAGCATTCACAACATGCAAACCGAGCGGATAAAATCCGCCAACGTCCGCGATCGATCGCGCATGTTTAATTTTAGGCGAACATTCGCCTTAGACGGCTAAAATTAAACACGTTGTTTTGACTGGGTCTATGCACACCGGGCGGATGTTCGCGAGCGATTCCGCAGAAATTTTTATTTTAATATTAAATTATAGTTGTAGGGGAACAGTGCTTTCCTACTTCCTGGTGACTTGTACGCCTGAACTATATTATAAACTTATAAACTCAAAATAATATCGAATTATCGATTATTTGAATATACCTACCTAATATTACCTATTATTATATTTTAATTTAATACAATTTTTGAGTTTGAATATAAATATGAATTCCGCTAGTTTTGATCTGGAACATTTTATTATCGAGATATCTCAAGAGGAGTCCATCTGGAATTTAGGTAAGTCTTATGCGTATAATTTTTACCTCTCATTTTACACATTTATTTTCATTTTTAGTTAATTATTTTGTGTTTTTGTAAAATGTTCAGTATTTTAATTAAATTGTTATAAAATAGCTAATAAGTTTCTTCATAAATTATCCAAAATATTGTTCTACAACACAATAATTAAATTAAAATTATGTGTTACCTAAATATTACATTTAGAATCAAAAGAATATCACAACAAGATTCAAAAATATAATAGTTGGTCGAAGGTTGCAAAGGCTACTTTAAATGATTTTGACAGTCTCGACGAAACTGGGAAGAGGGAAAAAAGTAAGTATACTCGTTCTAAAATCTATTAACTCTTTTTCAAATTTATATTACAACATTGAACTTACAAGAATAATTGAAATAATATAACAGTAAATAATTGTATTTGTAGGTATACATATCGAAAAAAAAAATATAATAATGTTATACAAGTAATGCTATTGATAATAATAAAAACAATACATTATATTATGACAAAAGGTATACAGTGTAATAGTGTATCGTATAATAATATAATAATATGTAATAATAGGTACAATTTTAAAAATTAAGTTAGGCACTTATTAGTAGATGTCATCCAACTTACCAATGTTACATATTATTATATAATATTGGTTAAGACGACATTTTTAACATAAAACATGAATTCAATTAAATTTACATAATTTATAATAATATTAATTTAAACCATTAAAATTTTAAACTATGACACGATTTCAAAATATATTATTGCATACCTACTTGAAATACACGTTTGCATATAGCGCGTTTAACCTAATACCTTATTTTGCCAGCTTAGAGCATGTTCTGGATTGTTAAAATATTTTACAAAATATTCCCTAATATCTTTGGCATTTAAAGATGCATTTCCAACACCTATTTTATCTGATACATCAGGCATTTCGCAACTAATCGTGTCCTCAAAATTAAAACCATCCCTACGTCGTACAAAATTATGCAATACGCATGCTGCCTTCGTTATGGACACAGCAACATCTGGTGTTACTAGTAGAGTAGTATGGAAAACTCTCCATTTGTTGGACAAAATTCCAAAAGAGCATTCTATCTTTTGCCTTGCTCTAGAAAGACGATAGTTAAATATTCTCCTATCATCGTTTAAAGTTCTACCAGGAAAAGGTCGTAATAAATGCTTATTCAACGCAAACGCTTCATCTGCTATTAGTACGAATGGCTGAGAGACACCGTCTTCATCACCAGGTAGACATTTATCTTGAGGGAAATTTATTTTGTCAGAGTATAATTTTTTTCCAAAAGGGCATTGTTTGAAAATATTGCAATCACTCTCTTTCCCGAAAGAGCCTACATCGATTATTGAGAAACAATAATTAGAATCACAAATTGCCATTAAAACCAAAGAAAAAAAATTCTTATAGTTGTAATACTGAGTACCGCTGTTTTTTGGACATTGCAACCGGATGTGTTTACCATCGACAGCTCCTACGCAATTAGGAAATTGTGTATTTTTATAGAAAAATTCCGCTATTTCCAACCAATTTTCTACTGTTGGTGGGGCCATTTCAGTTGGTTGTAACTCGTCCCACAACACCATACACGTTTCATTAATTACTTTGGCTATGGTCGATACACCCATCAAAAAGTCGAAATGCAACGATGAAAAACTTGTACCAGTAGCCAAGTATCTAAATAAAAAGAAAAAAACATATTAAACTTGTACGAGTTATACCTATTGGATTTATTAAATTTAAACTCAATGATAAATTATTGCTTAAAAAAAAAAAGAGATTTCGAGCTAATACTGTAAAACAACAATTATATCATAAAATCATAAAATCATAAAGATAGGTACCTAAGTAAAAAATTTAATTTAAAAATTATAAATGTCTATAAATACTAAATAGTACAAAACAACTCAAATTGTTTTAAAATTGTCATATATGTCAAAATATAAATCCCTACATAAAATAATATATAATTTATAATAATTATTTAAGTTTATAAAATTTGATTTTTTCAAAAATTTTTGTTGCGTAAATATATATTTTAGATTCTGAGCGGGGTGATGAATGAATAAATTTTAAAATGATTACTATTTTTAAATTTTTTATTTATTGTATTTGTATACGAAGAACGATTTTGAACGGAGATGATTTGTCAGTCTACTCAGTCTAGGATATATTATAGATTATTAAAGATTTTCAAATCTTTGATTTAAAAAGAAAATTTTGTATATATTTCTAGCTTAAAATAATTTGCGAATTTTCGTGATTTTTACGTATGTTGTCAAAATTAAAATTTGAATGCATTTAAAAAAAAATTGTGCTTATATATTTCTTTTATTTTTCAACTGCTATTGTAAAAATATATTATGAGCCTTATATTAAATTTTCAAGTCACAGATTTAAAAAGAAAAACTTTTATGAATTTCTATCTAAGATAATTTGAACATTGCCGTAATTTTTACGTATTTAGTCAAAATTTGAATTTTAAATGCTTATAAAAAAAATATGTGACTATATATTTCTTTTATTTTTCAACTGCCATTGTAAAAATATGTTAGGAGCCTTGTATTAAATTYTCAAATCTTAGAWYTAAAAAGAAAATTTTTTATGAATTTCTATCTAAGATAATTTGAACATTGCCGTAATTTTTACGTATTAAGTCAATATTTGAACTTCAAATGCTAATAAAAAAAAATCGTGCCTACGTATTTTTATAATTTTTTAATCATTATAAGAATAAACTATGAGGAACTTTGCATTAAATTTTCAAGTATTTTGATTGGGCCAAAAAAATTTTATCGACACTTCAAAAAATTTTTTCAGAAAAATTGAAAATTTCAGCTGTCTATAAATATCTCAAAAAAAGTCAAAATATTTTTAAAATTAAATCATGTAAAGAAAATGCCAATATAAATAACTGATAAAATTTCCACGTATCTACGGCTTATACTTTTTAAATTATAACAAATATTTAAAATCGTTTCAGGATAAGTCGTTATCGTAACGCTATTTCGTAAAAATTTAAAATTCAAACGCACCTCTAATTTTTCCTATAATGACGCTTCGAGATTTCTCTATAGCTACTTGAAGTAAAACTTATGGAAAACTTAGTGTTGTATTCTTAATCCTTAGTTATAAAGTATAAACACACAAAATTTTACGATTTTTCAGCTTCAAAATTACTTATAAGAATAACTTAAGAGGAACTTTGTACTAAATTTTCAAGTATTTTGATAGGGCAAAAAAATTTTTATCATTAGAGAGTTAAAAATTAAAGTTAAGTGAATTTTAAATTTTTAAAATAATTTAATTTAATTTAATTTTCATCAACTGAATTTTACTTATATAAACTTAATAAATAATAAGTTACTTTTTATCAAATCCAAGTTACGTAAATTTATAAATCATTAAATAATAAATACAATAATATTATTATTGATAATGCATATAGCTATGGGATAAACATTAACTTTTTATTAATATATATTGTATTATCACATTGTAGTAATCGAATTACAAAAAAAGTGGAAAAACTTGAGAGACACATATAAAAAAAAATGCATAACAAAGTCTGGCCAGGCAGCTAATAAAAAAAAAAAATACGTATTCTCTGAAATTTTAGAGTTCCTGCGACCAACGATGGAAAATAGAAGGTAAATATACTTCGATTATATACACATAGTTAACCCTATATAACATTTATAATTATACTATTAATACATGTAAAGATTTACTAATTTATAATTAATTATATACATATTAGAACAGAGGGAAATTTTAACCGCGAAAGTGATGAAGAGGAGACGGAGGATGATCTAGGAAAAGAAAATTCCCAAATGGTGGAAGAAGATTTAACTGAAGTAAATTCTGTGAATGATGAACCCACCGATTCAAATTCTGTTTTGGAAAAGTCCACGCCCTCTACAACAGTACGTGCAAATTTAAAACCTACGCCGAAACGTACGAAACAATCCAAAAAAATTAACTTTGAGGACGAATTATTAAAGTCTCTTAGGCGTGAAAACGAAGACACTGACCCTGATAAATTATTTTTAATGTCCCTTTTGCCTCAAATGAAATCAATTAGTGAAGATAAAAAGCCAATGCTCTATATTGAATTAATTAATACTATACAAAGAGTAAAAAATCCTACTATAGATAATACGACAATGTATCGACAAGTATATAATCAGGGCAATTTTCCACTCGGAGGATATTCGCAGACTGCATCTTCTGGACCATCAATTTACCCTATATCATCTCAACCAGTTCTACATCCTAGTCTTCCTAATTACATTCATGACCAACTGCAACCATCTTATTCAGGCACTGCTAATAATTACATTGAATAACTAAATGTACCTATTAGAAGTTTTCTAATTTTGAGCATATTATACAGATACATTTTATTTTAAGAATATTTTGTTTCATTTATTTCAGACTTTTTTAATTTCTCAATATTTATAATCTAAAAGACCTGCGTATTTTTTTTTAACCTCACAATTATTTATCCAAAGTAAAATTTAACTTGAAAATATTGTTTCATGTATACCTATAAGCTAAGACTGTCAAATGTGAAAACATATTATTTTTTATGTTCAATTTTTATAACTATTTGACACTGATTTATTAATAATGTATTTATTATTTAATAATTTGTATTATAAATATTTAGACAGCTAGGACTGCTACCTATAATTAATTTTATTTCATTATACAAATATACAGTTAAATTAATTTTGCTTGTATGTAACATTGTAAAATAACACATATTAATTACCTATGCAAGGTAAAACTGTTACCTTAATGTCTCTGACAACCTTTCTTCAGGTGGTATTGAATCTCGTAGAATTGTATTTTCTTTTTGCAATCTATGCTTTATTCGTGATAACTAATAATAAAAATAATAATTTTTATATGAATAATATTATTTTAAACATAATTTTCAACATTGAATAATTATTCATGTTATAATAATAGGTAATAATTTTACTTACCAGTTCATCAAATGATGAAATCGACATACGGTAGTACTTTAAGAACTCGTCCGCGTGGAATCTTAAAGTCATAAAGGTAACTTGGAATTGGCCTTCCCGAGGCCTTTTCAGGTTCAAAGGATGAACCCAAAAACGCCTATTTGTTCGTTTATCCTGTTTTTTTTTATGTAGTATATAGGCAAGGCAAACAGTTTGAGTAYGACTCAAAAAAACCATTTTAATTAAACTAAAAAATTGTAGTTTATAAACTTTGACATGTGCGCACGAGAATACTAAAGCATAGCAGAACGAGGAACCACGAGTTAATGAAATTTTGCGCGATTTTTAACCGCGAAAAATGTTTCAATGTGTAAGCTTCGAATTGTAGGCGAATATAAATCGCCGCGATTTAAAATCGCGTCCGCGCGCGAATTATTCGCCTAGTGTGTAACCAGCTGTATTGTGTGTCGCCGCACACGTTAGTCGTTACCTACGTAGTACGTATATAATATCACAATATATTATGTTATTATATTAAACATGAATACGGCCAAGTTTAGGCCAAAAAACAAGAGGAAACTGCGATGCATTAAGTATATAGTATACTCCCTATTTTGCAGCTGCGTCGCTCAAGACAACGTGTGCATTTAGATACGGCACGTTCCCCACTGCTGTATCCGATCAGGAAACGGGTGTTTCGTAGCGTGCAGAGGGGTTGTTAGTCGTATTTCCGTTTCTTTTGTTTTTCTGCAACCCATTTAGTCAAAAAACTCGAAACGTGGTAGTTTTAACTTAAGAACTATCACAGACACCAAAAACGATTTATTGAATTGAGTTCATGCTCACCTTGTTAAGCATCTATAGGTACTATCTGATTAAAACGATATTATTTTTTTATATCAACTTATTTAATAAATTACTTAACCAACTTTAATCATAATATRTCTAGGGTAATATACTAATAATAATTAAATAATTTAAAACTATCTTCCCATTAAAAAGTAGAGTATGCACGGATCGTATATATCCTTTTTAAGATTTTTAAGTTTAATGTTTACGTAAAATTCACAGGGAAAATTAAAAATATAAGCAATTAACTAATAAATTTCAAAATATATTTATGATTGGGTATTTTTGTATACAAGATAAGGATTTACGTGAATTTAAGAGTAACATAATATAACTATAATGTCTTCAATAATATACTAAACTAATTTACTAAGACACAAAGACACCATCTATAGTAAATACAAATCTTCACATTTCTCATTTTATATTCATTCACAATTTAGTGTAGTGCCTATACTCTGCATATATTCTTACTATATAACCTAAAGAAATTAATTAAATACACATTATATTAAACCAATACATAGGTACCATAGATTATTTAAAAAATATATATTTGGCATGAAATATTGCATTTTATAACTTTTTGTTTTATGTTCAATGATTAATAATTAAAATTATTTTTACAGTTGGGCTAATCAATGAATAATTAAAACAATTAAACAGTAATAAGTTTTATAAATTAATAATCATAAGGACGTAGGCCTTGGTATTTTCTTAGGAATTTGAACGACTTTTAACTGGAAACGTAAACTTATAAAACAAAATAAATTAKAGAAAAATAATTCATCTATATGCCCTATAGCATGTAGGTACATTTAATAAATATTGCAAAGAATATAAAATATAATACATTTTTATAATTTATTAGGTAGACCTGAAAGATTTTTTTAACTTACATTAATCACATGGTCATCCTGTAGAGTAGTTTATTGTGTTCAATTAATAGTTATAGATAACAGATATAATGATTTGATTTGTATTATTAACTATATTTATTATTTATATATAACAACAATAATTTAGGTCTGATATTTCATATCATATGAATGTGAATAATTATGTGGACTATATGGAAAAATACCTATAATTATTAATTATTATCTTACAATAGTTTTAATAAAACAAAATAATGTTTTGAATTTAAAAAAAAAAGTTCCTATCTTTTAAACGCTAAAGAATGTTACACTATAAACTCAAATGTAACATACCTAATATAGATTAAAGATCTTAAACAAAAATATCTTATTTATTACTTTGTAATACAATACAAAGTATAAAATACTAGTTTATTTGCTCACAATATGTTAAAGTGATAATGAATTTATCCAAAATATATACACCCTTAAATATCAGCAAAAATTGATTATTATTWATAAAAGTTATTCTACTAAAATAAAAGCATTAGTTATAGATCTTTTAAAAAAGGCAATTTTATCATAATTAGGTACTGTACACAAAATCATAGAATAATTTAGAAGTATTAAATACCTAAATATAAACATCAAATGTATTATTGTATATTTGTATATGATACTGATGAGACACGGTGTAATTCTGTTGWATAGAAATTGTATATGATATTTATTATTATTACATATCAGACAAAACTTTATAATATAAATATCAACAATAAAATTAAAATAATGCCACCCTACACAGAAGATTCCGTAGTTCTATTTCATTTATTCTACTCTACTGTTTTTGGATGACGACTAAGCATAACAACGATAAAACCAAGTTGAAATTTCATGAATAAGCAAATTGGACATAATATTATTTCCGAATATGTAGTTTTAATTATTAACGAACAAAGAGTAGACAAAGCTACTATTATTATTATACTATTATTTGTGTTAGAATAAAATATGAATATTATCAAAGCACATTATGTATATATGTATATAATATATTGTATATATAAACGAACGACCTTATACAATATTATACATTACAATTTACAGCAGTAACAACGGCAACTATAGTAGCTATTCATAATACTTTTTTCAACGCGTTAAACAAGGACAATATAGTATTATGATATTGAGTTAATATTGATATTTTTATGGATCCACACACGTGAATTTTTTGTGGGGGGAAGGAGTTTGGCGTTTTAGATATATCAAAATAAAACGAGTGCTCTAAGCCTCTAAGAGCACAAAATTCACGTTTTCTCACATGAAACAAGTAAATATTCCAGCCAGATGGGCACTTATATATGAATGCAGTATTCATGTCTGGCTTTAGTTAAGAATGCTAGTATGGTTACGTTATTTATTACAGTTTTTAAAAGAATATTGGACGACATGTAAAACAAAATATGATGGTCTACAGCACTTAAATACAAGAGACAAAATTATATTTTTAATATGTGGAGTTGAAGACAAGAACGTTACGGGTAGAAACAATATTAAAGTCTCTCTATATTGTCATAAAACATAAATCCCATCGTTTTTAAACTCGTTAAAACCAGATGAAGGTTAGTATAGTTGTTACACAGTGTAACTTTTTCAAAGTCTTGTCCCAGTAGCACAATTATATAGTAAACATTATATTCTCTATCCGCAATGGGCCTGGTTAACATGCTAAACCACCGTTAKCCTAAAATAACATGTATACAATATGAAGCAATTGGTGGTGGTAGTTGCTCAACTGAGATACGGTCTAACAAATATAAACCGTGTGGTTTTTTTATTATAAGCCTATTATATATGTGTAATTAAGGCACAAAATATCGGTGCCTATAATATATACAGGGTATCTCAAGATGATCTGACATATGGAATAACTTTCGTTGTATTCAATATTTAAAATGTTTTCTATATAATTAATTCATAAACACTTGCGATACAATTATAGTATATAGTTTTTTTTTAATACTGAAAATAAAAAATTGAACTTAAAAATTTATGAAATTTTTTGAGATGAATTCAAAATAGCCTATTTATGAATCTGATTATAAGAAAAATTCTGATGGTAAAACGATTTATCTAAGTCAAGTATTTTATTTTTTAGAATTTTTTAAAATTCAATATTTGTTTGGTTAAATTAATTTGGAATGTAATAACTTTTTAAAAATAATATTTTTGAGAATTGGCTAATATGAGTATATTAAATTATATACTTATCATATAATATTATCAATTTTTATCATAAGTATTTAATTAGCATTATTTTTTTTYGGGTCTTTCTGAGACACCCTATACATATAAAATATGTGTTACCGTAAGTAAATATGAATTTAGAATTCAATGAAAAATATGAATTATGTGCCTATATGTATATATGTCGTATAATCGTATGTGTATGACATAAACGTTTTCATTGTCATTAAAATACACAAAGGAGCCTTGAGAGCAGTTATAATAAGGATTTAATTTACTATTATACTATACATTATTTTATTTTATTTGGCTTTATTCTGTACTGTTTCAATGATCCGTAAAATGTTAAAATATTATACATATATATTGTTATAAGCTTGAATTATTCAAGAAAATCAAATTAATTTACGATTTACAAATTACAACACTATATACTTTGAGCTCGACGTGAAGTGAGTTTTAATTCTAATTGAATAACTAAGGTTTATTCATTTGATGTCCTAATCGAATTAGCCAAATTACTTGATTTAAAATTCAATACGAGTATCTACGCTATGAACGCTGGTGGGTAATTATAGTTAAACGTTCGTTAATACATTATAATAATTATCATCTGCAGTTTTATGAATAACTCTATATTACTCTGTAATGTGCTCGTCATTTTCATTATTCGTTTGACAACAGCCAGATGTCGATGATAACTTTTTATGTAGCATTTAGCAATAGAAAAATTCAAAAATACCATATGGTCAAAATAAAACAATAATTAATAACTATACTAATAACACAATAACACAACTATGTGACGCATAATATGAAAAAAAAAWAAATCTAATAGGTAATAACGTCACCAAATGTAATATTTATCACGATTAGACATCTATAAAACTTCACAATTATTAATGGCGGATTTCAACTCTTAGTTCTTACCTATATAGAGACTACGAATTTAGATTAAATACTTAAATTTCTTAGTTCTTAAAATAAGATCAGTAGTAATTCGGCGATACTAATAAAGATCTATAATAGTATGCCATAAGTCAAACTACAAAACTCCGTTTCATTCAGGAATACACAACTCGTTGCAATAGTGCAGAAAATCATTAAAATAATGTGTTTACTATTTCTAGAATGCAGATGAAAACATCGATAATACATATTTACACTTCCTCGCTTTGTGAATTTATAAATAAAATGAACGTGTTTAATTTCGTACTTTAATAATAAACTATTTAAGAACTGGTCATGGTATTAAAAAACTAAACTAAAGATGCATGACAAAATGTGTTATGTATAGTTTCCTCATTTCCAGGTTAACGCCGTCGAAGGTCGTTGAGATTGACTTGCATTTTTTTCGTCGTAATTTATATTATGTTGTTGAATATTATCGCCAAATCGCATACTGACGTACTATGTTGGCTTTGTCGTTGTAAAGTATGCAAAATAAAAAAAAACTAATTGAATATTGTTAGAAATAACTACCTACACAGTTCCGCGTTGCAAGGGGATCAAAGTATTTTTTCCCCGAAAAATGGACTTTTTAAATATTAAAAAAAGTTATAATAGTGATTGTAAGAATTGTTGACTGTGGCACATTATGGTAATATTCTCTAATATTATGTAGATTCTRGTCCGTGATTCATGCATTATAAATAATTCATAAATTGTTCTAATTTTCGTTTATAATTCGAGAAAAATTATGAGAAAAAACTCAACATCAAGATAGTACATAAAATAATGAGGTCGGTACAATCTAAAATCTACTAGTTGTGAACAATTAATGTTAAATTGTTAAACTGTCGACTCCAATTTTTTTTTTATTATTATTCCTTTCAAACAAAAGTTGATTCTTCTATTTTATATTAAATTACATAGAGATATGCCATTTTTCTTATAGCATCTTTTACAATTTATTTTAAGTAGATCGGTAGTAATTTTAATTAACGGAATAATATAATATAACATAACACGTGTACCTCCCTTACCATTTATCCTTAAAATAAAATTTTTCAGCAAAAATCAATAGTAATTTACGATATATATGGTTTTAAATGAATCATCAAACACCCATTAAATAATAAATATGTATGGTACTATGTTGGTAAAGAGAAACACTAAATACGTAAAGTCGTAGAAAATAAGTGTAAATTACAGATGAACTAAAAGGTCTACTATCTATATAAAACGTAAATAAATAATAAAATAATAAACTGCTACAGCATGCTGTTAAACTCGAAGTTAAATTTGTAAGAACCTATTGAGACAAAAACAAACCGTCCAGATTTTGTAGGTTTCCTCGAAAAGAGGTTCTTTTTTAYAGGTTTCCAATTCAAGGAAATTGGAAGTGACGATTTTCTATGTTCTTGAGACACATGTTATAGGCTATAGCTAAATAGAAATTTAGAAGTTTTTTATTTCCAACATACCAATAAATCTAATAAAGCAACAATAACTTTATTAAAAAATTTGAATTCATTGTTAAATTTTCTTTAGATAGATTTGCCCACATTTATGATATTTTGATTTCAATTTCATCAAATCCTTCCATTTAAATATGATAATTTTTTTATTTCTACTTTTTAAATTCTAAACAGTTAAAGTTCAAAATTTTGAGAAGTCTATCCAAGGAAACATAATGAAAAATTTTAGATTTTATAATAGTTCTTATTGCATTACTAGGTAGATTAATCTGTATGTTAAAAGATAAAACAGATTAAATCACAATTTCCAAAGTTTTTTAATAATAAGATAAGAATGAGCAATTTTAGGTAAACTGCAACATATAGGTATGTTTACATATTTCAAGTAATTAAAAAATAATTACTATTCCATCTTAACACATTCAAATATTTGTTGAATAAATTCAATTTTCCTACATAAACTAAAAAATATAAATTGGTATTTTTGAAAACTAATTGTTTTAAAGTGTATTATATCATATTATAATATTATACAATAATTTTACATTTTTCAAACTTGAATTAAATATATATTTTTTGTTCATAGTATTTTAAAATTTAATCAAATAACAAAATGTTGATAAAAATTATTATTAAAAAATATTGTTTCAATGAGTAATGACMGCTGATATTGACATTCTTTATTTATTATTAATTGCTGTCATTCAAACAATTTAAACAATGGGTAATAGTATTTGTCAATAGCCAGTTAAGTGTATTGTGTATATACAGAAATATTAAAAAATGCATAAAACATTAAGTACCTACAGTAGGTAGTTCAGGTAGTAAATTTCAGTGTTAATACATATAGTACTATCCTAGATAGTATACGAGTTACTATCTTTGTTTGATTTTCAAACTTCATAACTTCACTAAATAATTACAAATAATGATTTATATATTACATTGTTAAAAAAGTTGTTAATACCTATGTATTTAATTTAAAAAAATGTAACTTTTCTTACCTTAAAATGTCTATATAAAAATAACATAAATTAATGATGTTTTATATTTCATAGATTGGGTACTAATGTTTTGTTCTATTATTATGTTTACGTATTATTATCACCTATTAAAACATTAATAATTAAATTTATATTCTCCTACCAGATCTGATGAATTGTAATCTACATTGTATTCCTTAGTCCTTACAGCCACAAAAATTATAGCTTATAAAACTAACATTTTTAATTATGTAAAAATAATTAGGTGTTAACTGCTAAAAAAATCCATGTCAAAAAAGATTGAATGGGGCTACATTGTTATCAATCTGAGATTAATTGAACAATAAAAAAATAATTTAGTATGTAATTAATTGATCTCTTAATGGTCAAAAGATTATCAGTAACTTTATAATTATGTCTAAAAATGATTTAATTAAAAAATGGTAAAGGATAAAAGCTAAATAATCTTCTGTATGTCTGAATACTATAATACAATCCACACTTAATTTAAACACAAACTTTAGTTAAGATTACCATGCTGCAGACTTAGTAATAACATATAAAGAAAGGATCGGTCCAAAACTGATTGGATTAAATAATTAAGGCCTGGGTATAATTAGATTACATATTTACACTACACATAAATTATAATAACTAGGTTAATCAATAGTACCTAATGTAAAGAGAATATTTAAATATCACCAACCTTTCACTGCCCTAAGAGTGTATGTTGTGATATGTATTCAATGTGCATGTGTTCACAAAATCTTCATCTTTCACAAAACTATAGCAGAGATGTCCATATGTTGTAAGACATCAAACTACATTGCACAATTAAACAGTAAAAAAATAAATTACACACACATTTTAAACGATTTAGGAGTCGTTGACAGGGCTGAATAATTGACAACCCCAGGGACTTAAAATAATTCAATAGTTACGGATAACAGATTATAGAAACCAGAACCAACTCGACTCACACTTGACAGAAAAGATAATACTATGAACACGGGAACGTTGTGGGTGGGTGCCGTCGACACCGCAGTTGTGAACTAACTGATGTGTTCATTTTTCGATGACAAAATAATTTTAAATTTAAAAAAAAAACTATTATTATTATAAAATTTAAAAAAAAACAATAACACTACGTATGAGCGAAGTCACTGCTACTGCTGCTGCGGCGGCGGCAGTGTGACAATGATGTTACACTTCACCTGTGCAGAGGTACCTCACTGCCGCAGTACCTGTGTTACCTCAGTTACCTGTAATAACTAATAATATATTCACCTGTAATTTGTGTTTGGTTTTTTTTATTTACACCTATCAACAGTTCTGACAGTGCGTGCGGCAGAGACGACTCAAATTATTTGCTATCGAACAAAACTGTTCACGGAAGTCGGCGACAGTAGGGCGGCCAAATCTACACTTCTGCAGTAGACATTCTGCTGTTGTAGTTCTATAATAGTATGTAGATCTCCAAATTGGAATATCAGGTCGATACGGCTTCGATTGAAACGTCTCGAACGATTCAGTCGTCTTGGAAAACAATAACACGAGTGAGAATTTGGATGGGTCATGGCCCAGGTAGATATAATAAAATCCAAATAATTCATTACCTAAATACCTTGATATGGCTTGATTTACAAGTGAGTTCTGATTTGTTAGTTTGTTACTATCCGCRCAACGGGCACTGAGCGTTATCAGAATCCTACTATCAGAAATTTCTTCTGTTATTCCCATAGATAATAATTCTTTATTATCTATGGTTATTCCGCCCGTTCGACTGATAACAAGCAAACTGCAACAGACTTCTATAGTAAGTATAGAAGTCTGTGACTACAACCCATCACCGAATGATAAACAATGCTTGTTTATCAAAATATTGTTTTCTTAAAATTTTAAATTTTTCATATTAAATTTAAATATTATTTATTCATTTTTCTCGTTTTCTCAGACGATTTCCATGAGTCTTGGTTGTCTCGACAAATTCATCATCGATTTATCTCGGCTGTCACTAATCCGTTCATACATTGAAGTAAGTGTTCACGTTCACTGATTTTACGCCGTTATTAAAGAAATGAAAACYCTGTATTTCAATTTATATATGGTTGATTTTATATATTTTCAAAAATTACTTTATTGTTCTTAACTTTTAGAACAATCAAAATTCACTTTATCAATTAAACCTTATTAACCTTAATGGTAAACTRAAATTTTATGATATGAACCAATACATTGAAATATACATTTCAATGGTGATGGTCARAAGAAAATATTATAAAGAATTAAAGATCAATAAATTTAAGATTATTTGGATATCGTAATATTTGTTAACAATAAGAATGTTACCATCCTGCCCATCAGCTGTCAAAATACAAATATTTATCTTACTATTATTGATTAATATTTAAATAAATTATTGATAATGATATGGTTTTATTAGTTATTATTGCAGTTTACCATTATCAAACATGTTACATTTTTCATACTTCTTTTTAGACACGAGTTAACTATAGAATAAAACTTATATCTCATATAATAGATTTTATCTCCATAAAACAAATAATAAATTGATATTCTAATGAAGAACATTTTATTCTTAGGATAATGGATGGAGCCGATGGAGGTAATGATCGATTTCTGACACCCATGTCTTATGAAGAAAAGATATTAGCCAAGGAAAATATAGAACTAATATCAGGAAAAGATGTCAAAGAGGAATCATTGGACAAAAATGTCTTGTTCCGTAACATTTTTAAATGTYTACGATGTGAACTAACTTTTGAGGATGAACACCAATTACATAATTGTATAGCATTGCCTCTTAACATAAATAAACAAAAGAAATTAAAGCGAGTGTTCAAGTGTTCTCTATGTGATAAACACTATCTCTTTCCATCATTAGCCATGCTCCATTTGAAACGCCATCAAAAAAACTTAGAAAATAAAATAGAGAACATATGTAATATTTGCAAGGTTAAATTTGAATCTTCAAAAGAATTAAAAAGTCACTTTGAAGTGGAACACAATATTATTCAATTTCAATGTAATATTTGTGATAAGTTATTCAAACAAGCCAGGAATTTACAATATCACCTGATGAGTCATTCAGGTGACAAACCATTTCAGTGTGAGTTGTGTGGACACAAATTTACCAGGGCCGATCATTTGGTTAGACATCGAAGGGATAATTGTGATCAAATGGAATTTGAATGTGATTTATGTGGAAAAATTTACAATACTAAAAGAGGTAATGTATAATAAATTATTTAAATGTAGGATGGATAAATGTTATTTGTTGGTCTCGTGATTATTATTTTCAGGTATTAGAACGCATTTGAAAGTACACTATGACAGTCCAAAGCCTGGTACCCTATGGGCGTTGTATACAGAATCTGGACAAAAATATTATGAGTGCACATTATGTAATAAAACGTTTACTCAATTTTCCAGATTCAAGGAACATATACGAACGCATACTGGTGAAAAACCTTTTGAGTGTCAAATTTGTAATAAAAAGTTTACTTGCCATTATAAACTTAAAATGCATGGTGATGTGCATACAAATGATAGACCATTCAAATGCAATTATTGTGAGCTCAGTTTCAAAAATCGAAGATATCTTAATAAGCACATGCGCAAACATGATGGAATCAAAAAATATCAATGTAAAATTTGCAATAAAGAGTTTCAATGGTATAATAGTCTGAAATACCATATGGTGTCACACTCTGGTGATAAGCCATATGTATGTATAGAATGCAATAAGTCTTATTCTCATCTTAGTACCTTAGTAGCTCACCAGCGGACTCATAKTGGGGAAAAAAATTATGAATGCTATGTTTGCAATAAAAAATTTAGACATTCTAATACATTAAAAAATCACGTAATCACTCATAGTGAAGATAAGCCATTCAAGTGCCATCTGTGTCCAGCTCAGGTAAAATGTACCTAATTTTTATAGGTAATAATAAAAATTAATACTTGATTCTTACAGGTTGCTACATGTGCATCGCTGAAAATTCACTTGAATACACATGGTGGAGATTATCAATGCAGTTTCTGTGGCAGTACTTTTTTCCAACTATCCAATCTAAAGTCTCATGAACGTAAGGTGCATTGCAAAACAAATTTCTATGATTGTGGAATTAGTGAAGAAAAATTAACTTCAAAATCACGAATGAAAGAGCATTTAAGACATGATCATCACATTCAGTTCACAAAAACTGTCACTGTGTATGATGTTGAATTTATACAAGGTCTCTGTAAAGATTCATAATATTGTATTAATGTAATAATTTAATTTATAATTATGAAAAGTATTTAAAATATGTTTATGACCAATTATTAGTGGTATTTTTAAATGTTATATTGTTTCACGTTCTGTTGTAAGATTAGAAAGTTGGTCATTATAGTTTTTATACCTTTATCTTTTTGTGAGAGTTGACTTGATAATAATGTAGTCATATGAGATATATGAGATAATCATAAATGTTAAATGTATAGTTATGAAGTTATAAATTAATTGAACATTTTTATCTTTCAAGTTGTGTCATTTTAAAAATTGTTTTAAATAATATTATGTAACTACCTATTGGTTATTTTACCGAGTTTTATTGTAACTTACAATTGTGTAATATCAATAAAGTAAAAAAAAAATGTTTTTTTGAGGGGGCGGGGCGTGGGCAGCAGCAATTTTCRTTAATACAGGCCTGTCATGGCTTGAGTTCGAAATAAACTAAGTATGTGAGAACATTTTTAATTTAAAATTGAATAATTGAATATTTAATCACTATTATTATTTTTATTTATCTAGCTAATAAAGTGAACTAATTTAAGCAAATTTTACATATTATACAGAACATACAATTGCAACCAAATGATTTTAATAGACATCTATGTTAAATTATAAAGTGATAAAAATAGTTGTCCAATATTTTATGAAAGGGTGAAACAAAATTTCATTATAATGGATAACCCTGATAAATTCAAGATTAACTGCTTATATTTTTGTTAAATTTTTACATAATATTTAATAACTTATTTTATACGTTTAAAATTTTTATATAAATATTGAACTATTTTTAAGGTAATTATTTCTTAAAAATAGGAATAAGACTAAACAATTTATTTGSGTTATTTCAATACCTACCTATTTGTCCTATTTGCTAGTGTAAGCATAGCAATTAATTAACAGTCCTAAATAACTAAAACTTTTAAGCTTATATAGCCAAAAAGATCCACTTGCTTTATTCACCAAACTCTACAACTACAATTGAATACAGTTATACAAATAACAATTTATATCAAGCAAACTTAATTTAAGTGAACATATTACTTTTCAAAATAATAAGTGTTATATGATTATATCGATTAATAAAATACTATATATATACTCTAGAGATGTATAAATTCAAAAAAAAAATATATTAGCACATATATTATACAGGAACATTATTTATATAAAAGTGAAACCTCCAAATAGCTGATATTTTTTCGGGAACGGTGACATTTTCACTATTTTTATACAGGAAAAGGAAAACCCCAAAATACCGGACACTCTAAATAACCGACACTTTTATGGTAATTTAATTTTGATTTTGACAATTTATTCTAGAATAATCGTGGAATGCCTTTATTCATGCCTTTTTATTTATCTATCTATTTTAGTTTTTAGTTAATCTTATCTGTCCTAAAACATTTTTCTAGTTAGTGTTCTGTGAAGTATCCTACATTACTATTTCCGACTCGTATTTATAGTTGTGTTTGTGATTCCATTTCATACGTATTCATAAACTAATAAAATTGTCTCCAACGCAGTTGAATTAGAAAATACCTTGATACACGAAATTATTATGCATCAAGGTCTAAACAAGTTAAAGAAACTGAACTTTTCATATAATTTTAAATAGGTAATAATAATATGTACATTTAATATTTGCATTAAAATAATGGAAATATAGAAATATTTTTGATTATAAATATTATATAAAAAATAATAAAACATGTAATTATTAATTTCTCCGAGTTATTTTCGAGAATTTACCACCCCCCCTCCCTCTGAATAGCAGACAAAATTACGGTGACCGAGAGTGTCCGGTATTTAGTGGTTTCACTGTATATATAGTTTTATTTATCGCGATAAGTATTTATTTTTTTTTAATTACCTTCTGAAATTCTAATGAAAATAATATAATAAAATCATTTTATTTTTACGTTTGTATAGATACCTCACTTTATTTTAATGCTAAAAATTGATTTTTTTACGCTAAACTTTTGTGTTTTTTTTTAGTCAGAAAATACAGGACATTTTTGGTATACATATAGTATACTATAGAGACGGGATCCCCCTCAATGTCCCATCTTAATTATTGACTTGTATTAATTATAGTAATTATTGTAATAATATTGTTTATTTTATAAAAAGCTATTTTGACGACTTTATTAATATTATACTTTAAATAATGAATTTAATAAAAAATATTAGATAAAATTATAAAATGTTATATAATACACCATTATAATACTTAACTACGTAGGTGATTTAAGTTGGTATACCTATTTATTGTAATGCGTTTTATGTTTTATCATATTATTTATTGGTTTTGAATTAGCTACTCCTAATACCTGCTACCTATTAATGTAGGGTGATTTTATATGATTTGATACTAGTGATAGGCAAAACTGCATCAGTGCTTTAAATCAAAAAAAGAAATGTTGAGAATAATTCAATTACAATTATTTTGAAAAGTATGTCATAATTTTGTATAATTACTAAAAAAATAAAAACTTTCCCAACACAATTTACTGTGAACAGTAATTGACTAAAAATACTAAATACGAACGCACTGATTCGCCATACACAATATACGTATATTATATTATTTAGTTCACTCAAATCAAATAATAGGCGGTGTATGAACTACAAACAGCGAAACGCACGCACGCACGTATACAAAAGAGATGGTTGACTAATTAATGGCAGKTATAATACTAAACTCGCGTGTATAATATTATTCATTATAACTTATAAGCATTTCTGCCGTTTCTGGTATTTTGTACTTTGTAGTTTTCTGTTTTTTTTTTTTTTACATTTTCGTAGCTAGGAACTGTTGTGGCGGACCATAAACTGCATACCTACCTAAGGGCTCTAAGGGCAACAGTTTTATATATAGTTATATTCTAAACATATAAATCGATCTACATAATATTATACGTATAATGTGTGTCAATTGTTTTCATTTTTATAGTTTTAATGTAGGTACCTATTTAAACAAAACGCACTTCTAGCAAATGTACCTAATATAAAATATATGTAGGTACCTCAAAGTACTATAGTAGAGTTATTACTTATCATGCAACAAGTACCTACCTATAACCTATATTATACATAATTAAATCCCAAATGTTTGACTCGCCACAAGTGTAGGTAAATGGTACATTACATAGTATAATAGGTATACAACTTGATACGTGACTTAAAAGTTAAAAGGAATGCATTATTCAATATTTCAATAGTCMTATAAGTATATTAGTATAAAACTAAATATAATATATGAATGTATATTATATTACATACCTACAGATATATTATAGGTAAGTTACACACGTAACGACGTAACTATAACGTTCTAACTCTAGATATTATATAATATATTATATAGGTACCTACTATAAATATATTGTATTACATACATTTCAATTCAGTTCCTATATAAATTGTATACGATATTCCTGTGAATATAATATAATAATTAATAACATATACGTCATATATGTATAGGCAGCTGGGTATCTATCATACCTAATAGGTATCTACTGCAATTTTAACAACACATATATTATAACACCTACCTATATAATATCTCTAATTTTGTGATAATATTATATACGAATTACTTTCATGCCCTCTCGGTCACATTATTATTACATAGGTATCTGATATTCTGATGATAAGCAATCAAGCGATTTAAGTAAAACTTTTGATTTTTGAACTTCTTATAGTTAGGTACCTATACCTATCATGACCGAATAACCGATATTATCTTTAGTGGAATCAAGGTTTTTAAGTAATTTATAGTGATATAAACCAATATTCAACAATTTCTACCTGAATATTAATAGATCAAGTTTTAAGATCTCATGTGCGTATGCAGGGGGTGGGGGTTTTGGGGTTCACCCCCCCACCGAAATTATTTTCCTAATATAGTAATATTCCTATATACATAAACTTACTTCTGAACAAAATTATATTCGTAACATTTTGATATTTAGTATAATAATAGTCACATTAAAAATAATGAATAAAGAGGAAGAAATTATTTTATTATGTTGCTGTACAATTTGTATTGCTATATTTTGTAAAMCCCCCCCCCACCCCCTTGAAATGTTATTATGTGTACGCCGTGCCTGTAAAATCTAATAATAATATAATATATTGTATAATATTATGAACATAATTTTCGTTTTATATCCTATGATTTGCAGTATTTGAAGTTTGAACAACAAATCGCGTTACAAATTGAACAACAATCTCGCAGTCATTGTGAATTCAATTGAATTACGACGTTAACACTCCATATAATATTATATGACATCGCAGTCAATATACGTAATTGGCTGTATGAAAACGATCATCGACAGTATACCTAATGTATATTGTATATACTAATATACTATATAGTATACCACTGCACCAATCGATATATATTMAGATTTCATGATAATAATATTATAAACAGATCACAAATGCTTGATATTAATATAGGCATCACCGTTTTTGACCGAAATCGTATCCTTCCCCTTTCGGCCAAACCAAACAATTTTTTTATCTACTTTCTTTTAAAAATATCGAAAGTTATTAAAAATATAAATTGTATAAAATGTATATATATAGATTAGGTATTAGTTAAGCCTATATATAAATATTAATAATATAAATAAATATTTTCCAGTTAATAATTATTTGATCTATATCTTCTGGAGTTATGCATATATTTTATAGATAAGGTTATATTTATACATAATATCATACAAAATTATTTAAAATATAATTTATATAAAATGTTTTTATTTGTGTATCTGATCATTATTAATCAAATAGGTAATCAAATAATCGATGACAATAAATATATAAAGACTTTAATACATTCCTAAATATATAAAATAAAGTGAATATTAAATTTTTTGGTTTAGCCATAAAGGGAATTCCTAAAGTACGATTTTGGTTGAAAAGTGTCTCTCATCCCTATAATATATCTGTATCATTGCTGGCATTGCTGTAGGAGTCGAGTAGTCAGAAAATTACGTTTCACGGGCAGAGTGGACGAATTTTATACTTTTTTCTTTACTTTCTTTGAATAAACGTGTAAATTAAAATGTTGAAGGCTACAGAAGGTTCCCTGAATTTATAATGTGACAAATATATATTAATTACTAATTAGTAATACAAACTAGTCCCCGTAGGCAATAGATAAAAAAATTTCTGAATAGTTTTCAAATGGTCTGAAATGGATATTATTATGTAAATATTCAAAATGTGTAATTACCTACTATGAATATCAAACAGTAATTGTGTACATTTTAATAACCATCATACACCCCTGCGGTCCTACTTTTTGCACTTCTGGCCTTTTGGGAGCCTCTCGTAAATAAAAAACTTAGAAAATCTAAATATACAACGAAATCTAATCTAATTAAAAATTAAAATGTATAATTTATGTAGTAGTAGTATTGAAGCATATATGAGTGGTTCTAAGTTAAAGCCATATTCCGTTAATAATAAATATCTAATAAAGATTTTCAAAAAGGAAAGAGGTTCGTGAACAAAATAATAAATATGCAAAATGTGGCTGGCGTATATACGTATTACGTACCGAAATATTTGTATCGAATTATTTATAGGATACGAACCAGTACGCACCGTACCTGAGTACCTCCATAAATTATAAATTCATAAGTATAAATAAGAAAGTCAATAAAATAATA